AGGAATTGAGAAATTTGATTTCTCGAAGATTCTCTCCTTGAAAAACAAGCAATTAGAGTTATAAAACTTAATCGAATAATCTTGAAAACGATTATGTATTAAATCGAAAATTTATTGTTTAGAAATCGAACTGGATCAATTCGTTTATTAGCAATGAAAATGGCATTAGCTTTACTTTGTAGAGGAAATATTGAAGAAAAATATCGATGTAAGTTCTGTATAGAAAACTTATACATATATACATATGGTTCTTTTTTTTGATATTTTTTATCAGATGTATTTTCATTAGTGGCTTGTCCATCAACAGATAATGATGTGCGCGATGTTGTTGATCGACAACGTTTGTCAATTTTATTTCAACAAGCAATTGTTGTATGTATTTATTTTTCAAATGAACTAAAGAAATTGGACAAATGAATAAAAGTTGACGATACTTCTTCTTTCTACACATTGATTAACACTTCGATATAAATGAGATAGAATAGTAGGGATTGAAATGTTTTTTGATAAGATTTATTCGAGATTGCACTATGAAATATTGTCGAAACTTGAGAGACATTATTTGGATTTTCTCATTCAAAAATAAATTACTTTTCGAATTATCTTTAAATAATAATATAAAAAGTTTTTATCGTATTATTTAAACAATTTCTGAAAAAAACTAAATTGATTTAAAATTCATAAGCAAATTTAAACAGTTTTCTCTTTAATTAATTCAATATACTTCTAATAGATCCCAAAACAACTCGGTGAAATTGCTGCATTTGGTGGATCAAGTGTCGAACCAAGTGTAAAAAGTTGTTTTGATTATGTAAGAAAGTCATTTTTGTATTATTGTATTTTAAAACTTAAATTAATAATTAAAATACAAATATATTTAGGCACATAATCCTAATGTATTAACAGCGAATGATTTTCTTGAATGGATTAAATTAGAACCTCAATCACTTGTTTGGTTACCTGTTATGCATCGTTTAGCAGCAAGTGAAGCAGCTAAACATGAAGCTCGATGTAGTATTTGTAAAATATATCCAATACTTGGTTTTCGTTATCGTTCATTAAAACATTTTAATTGTGACATATGTCAAAATTGTTTTTTTTCTGGTAAACAAACAAAATTTTTTAAAATGGATGATCCTTTACAAGAATATTATACTGAAGTTTGTTATATAAAAATAATAGTTTTTATTTTAATAAAAATTTATTTATTATAGACAACATCATCAGAAGATATTCGAGATTTTTTTCGTATATTTAAAAATAAATTATGGACTAAACATCGAAAACATCCAAAACTTGGATATTTACCATTACCACATGTTTTTGATAATAATATTTCAGCAACATCTCAACCATTATCTTCTCCTGTATTAATTCCCGTTTTAACAACACCATTCAAGTAAATAATTTGAATTAAAATCACTCAGTTTTTTTTTTTGTGTTGTTTAAATCAGAAATTATTTCGTGAGACATGATCTAAAAGTAGAGTTAAATTGTATAGAATTGAAATTTACAACTACTCTCACATACAGACCGTGACAGACATAACCATTGAATTGTCACAAACCATAACAAACACGATTGATATACAATCATAGACCGTGACAAAACATATTAATAGACAATCAAAGGCCGTATATCAATAACATCTCATTATAGTCAATGACCTATTTTATGTTATTGTATTTCGGGATGATTAAGTGCAAAGATAATGAGAAAATGCGCTTCAAAATAGATAGAATAGAATAGTCTCTCAGCGATTAGCAGCATCATGTTTCATATTTTAATTCTGTACGGATTGTGATCATAGTTTTTTGTTTTTTGCGATTTAGATCTGACATTGGAATTGTACAACCGTTATCTTCTACTATTGAATCGTATGAAAAGATGAATTTTCTATAGAATATTTTAATTTTGCTTTCATTTTTAGATCTGATGAACATGGTATAATTGCACAGCATTGTCGAAATTTGAACACTTTTGTACATGCTTCGGTATGTATATATAGAAGCTTCTTTACATTGAATATGAATAGAAATTTTAATTAGAAATTCGAAAAGAAAAATTAAATGTAATACAAATTCAAGTCAATTTGAAGGAAGTTTTCATAAGATTAGAGAAGACTTAAAAGGATTCATGTCTGTGGACTCCGAAAGTCGATCCATGACTATTTTACCAAGACTTCAACCTGAAATTTTGTTCATCGATAAATTTAATGACTCTTGGTATATCTTGAAAGTTTCAGTTGAAAAGAGTGTTCTTTTATCGAGATATTGAATTGTTAAGTAAACACCATTTTTTGTGACGAGTGGCTACTTGTTGAAAATTGAATACGATGATGAAAGAACGTTTTTTTCGAGTAAAAATTCTCAAGATATTTCAAGAGTCATTAAGTCTATCTATCGGCAAGATTGTCGAGAAAAATTCTATTATTTGATTTGTCAGTAAGTACCTAACAATGGATCGAAGATTCACTAGAACAGTAATAACTCAACTCCAAAGATCCGTAGGCATTAACCATTTCAAGATTTTTCTTTTTTTACTCTTAGTGAGATCTCCGTGTAGGTTCAATGTATGTTCAAACAGGTTGATTAAATAAGTTTCTTCAAAATATCATGCAGTTATGTAAAGAAAACAGTGCTTCAGGTCCTTTGCATAATCATGAGAACAATATCAGTATTCATTATTAATCATGTTTATTCTAATTCAAAGAAATTTATAACGTAAATGAGTGACGAAATAACTCAAAAAGTTTATGAATGATTTCTAGTACAGTTTATCAGATTTAAATGAACAGCCGAATAGTCTAACATTAATGCAGCATGTGTATATCAAATTGATGCTGTAATATCTTCATATTTATAATCATTTTCATGTTTTAGCCTCGGGTTGCTGCACATGATATATTAACACGATCTCGTTCACTTGATAATGAACAACGTAATGAATTAGAAGCTATAATACGTGATCTTGAAGATGAAAATCGTTTATTACAAAATGAATATGAACGTTTATGTCAACAACATATGGAAAAATCTATAATTATCAATGAACGACAACAACAATTTCATCAAAGTGATAGTCAATTAGGTTCATTATCATTAATAAATGATTATAATTCAAGTGATCGTGAAATGTTACGTGAAGCTAAACAATTACGTCATCATAAAACAAAATTAGAACAACGTATGAAAATACTTGAAGAACATAATAAACAACTTGAAAAACAATTAAGAAAATCAAAACAATTATTATTTCGAGAAGTAAGAAAAGAATCTTTCATTTTTTTTGTGTGTGTAAATTTTTATCGTATATATATATATATATATATTTAGTCACCTTCATTACATCATCATACAAGTAATACTAGTATGACTGAACATCGTTCAACAACAATATCAAGTCCATTACATAGTTCAACATTAGGTTTAAGACGTTCAATGGAAAGAAATCTTGAACGACAACCAAGTAATTTTGAAATTTTATCATAAGAAAAAAAAAGAAAACTTTTATATTTTAATTGCTAGATTTAATAACAATTGATAATCTATTTCATATGGCTGATGATATAAATCGTGCTGTTGGTGATCTTGTTTCTGTTATAACTGAACCACAATCAAGTAGTTCACCATCTTATTATCAACAAATCGATACTTCAGTTGCATCTTAATGGAGCAATTATGCAGTTTTTTTTAATAAAATCTATTCTAATGTTTGTGTGTGCAATGCAATCAAACAGTGTGTGCGTGTGTAATTATTATTTAGTTTGAATTATATTCTCAGGTAGTGATAGTCAAATATATAACGACTAATCACATATCGCTTCTTTTTTCATTTGTTGTGGAGAATTTGTTTTTTTTTTTTTGCTGCGTGTCTAAGTCATCCTTTTATATATGTATGATTTTGTCCTTTTAATATATATATACATTTTACCATGATTGCAAAGAAATAGCTAATAAACAAAAATAATATTTTAGATGTCTTGAGTTTTGAACATGATGATTTTATTTATTGGAACAAATTTTTTGAAATATATGGAAAACATTTTTTTGAACGAGTTGGATTCGTCGTAAAAATGCTTTTTTGGTTGAAAACAATTAATAAGAAGAGAATAGATCATAATCAATATGAAACAATTAATAAATTATCACGGAATATACATAGTTGGTTTTTTTGGCAGACAAAATTATTTTTGATGAGAACTTGTGAAATACGATCTCAAACGAGTATGAAAATGTATACAAGAGAAATTTCGACTCCACATATAAATGTGTCAGACATCCTTGGTACGGTATCTCCTTGATCAATGACCGTAACAGACACCTTAGTAATACTTCGGTCCCTTTTCTCTGTCACAGACCATATATGAATGAGGTCTCGTTATAACATATTAACTTCTTCCTTATTGCGTTTCGGGAGTAATGCAATAAAACGATGTTAAAGAAATGTATCCCAAGTAGAGAGAATAAAAGAAGGTCTCTATGATATAGCATAGAGTCTTCCGAAACAGTCGCAAGGGTGGATGTAAATGTATCAAAAAATTATCGGGACATTTCTAATGTTTCACAGAACTCTACATTAGCAGCAGCAGCGAAATCGTGTTTCCAATTTGTAATCCCGCAGGAATTGCACTAGTCATTTTTTTTTGTAATGTTGACTGATATCTTTTGTCGATTGTACGACAAAATAGTCTTAAAAAGTCATGAAAATGGGTTTAACTTTTAAAAACATAAGTTTTGATCTGATATATTATTCATGTCTATTCAGTAGTTCTCAAAAATAACTAAATGAAAATTGTCCTTAAAAATTAATCAAAACATGAATGCTAAAAATGATTTGAACATTTAATTAAATGCATCATATAAAATACAATTGAATTTTTCTGATATGTTCAATTTTGATCTTGAAAACTTTGTAGATCGAAAACATATTTATACATATCGTGTATCTTTTTTGTTTTTGTTTTAGATATTTATTTTCATATATTTTGAAAACTTTTAATGGAATCCCCATTTTCTGATATGGATTGGCTTGATACAGCATCAAATACTCTTGATCTTGCAATACAAAAAGGTCTTTATACAGAATTTAGTCATCTAAAATCCGATCTTGATCGTATTCGTTTTATACATAATCATCGTGCAAATCTTTTATCAAATACATTTGAACGTTATTTATCATCAACATCATCATCATGTTTAACAAAAAATGCAACAACAGCAATAAATTTTCGTAAAAAAGGTAATGATTATTTTGTTGAAAAAGATTTATCACGTGCAGCATGGTGTTATCGTGCAAGTATTGCATTATCAACAATAAATAGTCAAGATATGGCATTATCATATGGAAATTTATCAGCTGTTCTTTTTGAATTAAATCATTATCATGAATCCATACGTGCTATTCAATTAGCTAATGATTTTTATCCAAATGAACTTAAATTTAAGTAAGTTTAAATAAATATTGTTATTGTTATCTTTTGATTAAATTTAATTTTGTTTTGTATTTATCCTTAGATTAGTATTTCGTCGAGCAGCATGTTATCATAAATTAAATGATCCTGAACGTAGTGCATATGAACTTAAAATATGTCGTGATCTGATTAAAAAAACTGCTGGTCTTGATAGAAAAAAAATTGATTCATTTTGTAAAGAAATGGATCAATTAAGTCGACAAATAGCAATATTAAATAAACGAAAAGAAGAAGAAAAAGAACAACAACAGCAAAAAATTACATCATATAAAAATCTTGATGATCTTATTCAAAATTCATCAACACCAACTGAAACAATAGCTAGTTGTTTATTAAAATCAACTGAAGAAAAAACGACTGATGAATTTTGTCCACCATCACCTCCATCACCACCTCGTAGTACGATTCTTATTGATGAATCAAAATTATTATTAAATGGACCTAATAAATATATACCTTGTGCTAGTTCAACATTACGTCTTGCTTATTCAAAAGATAAAGGTCGACATATAATTGCTAATCAAGATATTCCATCGGATGCATTGATACTTAATGAACGTCCATATGCTTGTTTGTTATTACCTAAATTTGCTTATACATACTGTGATCATTGGTTAGTGAATTTTTATAATCATGATATTCAGAACATTGATTCATATCAATACTTATTTCAAAACGTATACTAAGACAGAAATATTGCTGAAAATGGTGCGAGTTTTTATCTACGAAAAAATTACGAAATATTCAACTTGGTTTCATCTAACTATACCCTAAACCGTTCATTTTTTGAGCGAGACTTGTATATTTTTCTGCACATTTAGATGAAACTAAGTTGATTAGTTCGCAATTTTAAGTTTCGTAAAGTTCATACCACCTTCAGTCATAAATAGTAAAATTTTCGTAGTGAGGCAAACTTAGAAAATGTGCTTGAAGAACTATTCAATTTTTTATTACTATATGGTTGACTCTACATTTTCCGTAACTCGAAATAGTACTTCTTTGTTACAAATGTACGAGAAACTCACATTAAATAAACTAAAAGCTACCTAAAAAGTTTTCTTCATTTTCAGCAAATGAAATACAAACAAATGTTGATGGGTTTTGTATAATTGCACTTCTTTTAATACTATTTTCTGATCCCTACCAGTTTGATACAGTACAAACTGTAAACTGGTATATAAGATGTACGAACTGTATTTTATCTAAATGACCTATTCTCCCTAATCTTAACTTTTCGGTAGAGTTCTTATAAAGTTTGTTCAGTCTACTCTAAATTCAAAACATAGATTTTATTTTATAAACTTTCAGTAATAATATTTTTCTTCAAAGAACTACATCAAAATCAAAGAAGTCTTTTAGTAGAAAAAATTCTATTTCATGTAACAAAAAATTGTGTCGTTTTTTTTTTTGTTTGAAGCTTTAAATAATCATCTATTATTTTTCTTTCTTATGAATTTCATATTTTTAGTTTAACGGCTATCGTTATACCATATGTCTGTTCTCAATGTTCACACGTTCTATTCTGTAGTGAACATTGTCAACAACGTGCACTTGCTAGTTATCATCAATATGAATGTAAACATATTCATATACTAAAAACATTAGGCATAGCCTTTCTCGGTAAGATATTATTTTTCTTTTCTTATTAATTAATATTCAATTATTTAAGCTTATCGTACATTAACAATAACTGATCATGAAACATTATGGACAACAATAACTCAAACAACAATTCCTAATGATAATGAAGAACAAAACAATAACAATAATAATAATAATAATAATAATATTACTTCTACTACTACTAATATATATAAATCAGATTATTCATCAATACAAAAATTAATAACACATACAGAACAAATGTCAATCGATGATATATTTCATTATTCATTAACAGCATATCTTCTATCAGAAATAATAAAATCAACAAATTTTTTACGTTGTAATCAAGTAAAAAAACGTGATACGGAACAAATTTTACTTGCATCAATATTACTTAAACATATACAACAAATGATATGTAATGCACAAACAATATCAATAACAAAAACAAATCAAAATAATGATATTATATTTGATAATGATGATGATCATGATGAAATAACAAAACGTTTTGCTTCAGCTATATTTCCAACTTGTGCATTAATGAATCATTCATGTGTTCCAAATATTCGTTGTGTATTTGATCAAGGATATTTACGTGTATATACAGCGAAAACAATACGACAAGGTGAAGAAATTTTAAATTGTTATGGTCCACAAAAATCTCTTATGCCATCAACTGAACAAAGGCAAAATGTTCTATTAGAACAGTATTTTGTAAGTTAAAGATATTTGTTTTATTGTTTTTGTTCATTTATATAATTTTTTCTTAAAGTTTAAGTGTCAATGTGAAGGATGTAGTGAAATTCAAAAACCTCAAGTTGAAACATTAACAAATGGTGAGAATTAATTTCAACTTTTTGGAATATTGAATATATATATATGAGAAGTTTACTTTTTATAATTTATAAATTTTTCAATAAAAATAAACAATAGTTGATATAATTAGATAAAATAATCACGTTTTTATTTTAGAATCTACTTTGAATATCATAAATGGAAACCAAGATGAAGATACAAATCAGAATTTCGATCTTGAATACTTCCATTTTCTTTTTCAAAAAAGAAAACAAAAGAAATTTTGTCACATATTCCATAAACAGTACCCTATGAATACAATACTTGTAGTCCTTGTTTTCGATATGTCGCTTAAATATAAAAGATATTTCATTTGGAATAATAATCATAGTCGATTAGCATTAGTATTGAAATTAACCTTAATGCTTTGATATTATTTGCATTAGAATAATAGAAACTTTCCGATAACAGAACAAAGATTTACTATACTTAGAAATACTATTTCCAAAATAGAACAAAGACTTTTTATACTCGAAAATGGCATATCCTAAAACAGAACTAATTTGTTCGGTTTTAAGAACTTCTAAATTTAGTGCCTGCAATCTAGTCGTCGATATTCTCTGTATAGTTGCATTAACAAATGCTAATGCTAATTCTGATATGACACGCATATATTTTACAAATTAGAGGTATTTAAAATTCATTCTGGGACAATCTATAATAATGTTCTATTCCCTTCCCATTGAGTCAATACTATAATATCATCGCGTAACACTAAGATTGATGTCCAACAGACAGCGTGTTCCGAGCGACAATGGGATCGAGGAGATGGCCTCCCAATTCAAAGAAAATTTCACTTAGCGCCAGCGGGGTGTGAGTGTTTTATGGTTTTTTTGGTCATCAAGTTCGAAACAACGCTCAGTCTCCAACGCGGTTTCCATGAATTTTTTTTTGCATATTTTGCGAAGATGATGGGTTTATAAATCATTTTATCTTATATAGTATCAAACAAAAAGCTATCTAGAGTTCTTCTCTATCGATCGATCGCTGAAAACTGTAGGTCACTCACTATTCAAGTTATCGAACTATTGAATTTTCATTCACCACTCGTTAATTCTGGCATGGATACTACTTGTTATGTTCTATTAAACTTACATACTTTGAGAAATAGAACTTTTTAGTTCTTTATTAAACATCATAGAATTGTCCGTAAATCTAATTGAATATATATTTTCAAGACCTAACAGGTTTAACGAAGTATTATGAAGCTTAATGAACTTTGTAAAGTTTCGATTGATTTAAATTTCAAATACTTCGTTGCCTAGAAGACTAACTGAAGTTTGAGTTGAACACTGCGTTTTTGTGATAATCTTATTTGTCTTTTCATACTAATGATGTACTCATTAAATTTTAACATTTTTTGAAATACTTAATTTTCATTACACCTCAAACCTCTTCATTTTATGTCGTTGTTTTTTTTTTCTGATGAAGTCAATTGTGAAAATAAAAAGATCAAATAACATTATTTGTATTTTTTAAACACGTTGCATTCATTGAATTTCAATACTAAAATTAAGTTTGAACTAATAAATTAACTTTCAACAAATTCTTTTTTTCTAATATTATTTATTTGTGTATTTTTCTTTTTTGTTTTCATGTCGCAAAACGAAGACATCTACAACACGTAAATTACATAATCCTAAAACAACAACAACAACAACAACAATGAATAATTTAACTGATCAATCTCAATCACAATCATTAATTGTTCATGATAGTCAACAAACAAATGATTTAACACGATTTTATTTAACAACATCTGATAAATTACTTGAAGCAAAACGTATATTTTCACAAGGTCTTTCATCATATACACAAAATCATTCATCATGGGAACAAAGTTTAAAATTACTTCATGATTCCATAAGACTTTATGAACAAATATTACGTGAAATTAATTTAGATACTGTAAATCTTTATGAATATGGTAAGAAAAAATTATAAGTTAATAAAAAAAACAAATTGATTATTTTTCTAGTTGCTTCAATCTATAATGATCGTAATCAATTTGAATATACATGTATGTATTTAAATAAATGTATATCAATATTAAAAATGAATTTATCAACATCATGTTCATCAACAACAATACTTCTTGTTGATGTTCTACGTAAATATGCACAAACATTATTTAATTGTCGAAAATTTGATGATGCTCGTCGAACAATAATTGAAGCACAAATTTTACTTGATCAAATGACATCAACATCAACAATATCAATAAGTGAAGATGAAAAACGTACTATTGGAGTTATACAAACAATAGAAGATTTAAAAGCAAAATGTGATCTATGTCTTGGTTAATATCTGTTCTTTTGTTTTCTTTTTGTTGTTGTTTCTCATCTGAAAATGATGCAATCAGTTCTCTTTTCTTTTTTTGTTTCTTTGTCATTGATTATCGGTGCTATTTAGTGGTTATTGTTCATTCTCAGGGATAATGACCAATTTCTTTTTTTTGGATAGGTTCATAAAGAATAAGTATTGTATTCATGTGCATGATTTTTGTTCTTGACTGAAAGTCCATTTTTTATATTAATTAAGATTATGAGTATATCATTGTCTTGTTTTTTCTCCATCGTCAATTTCTGAGAATGGGACGCTTGTTTATCTATGTTTAAAAAGATATCACTTAATTATTATGTTTTAAAAGAAATTTGGAAGATTTTTGATAAGAAAAATTGAATTAATGGAATGAGAAAAAAAACAAGAAGTATGATTGTGATAAAAAAAAAAAAGATCTGAATGTTTTAATGTATAGAGATGAAACAATTAGAGAGTATGTGAATGTGATCGAAAAATCAGAATGTCAAAAGATGATGTGCGAGAATATAATAAAGGAAAAAGTATTGTTGTAGTATGATTAATAAATATTATATATTTTTATATTAGGAGTATAACATTTATATTTTCGACGAAAATTTTTTTCGCACCATGAAAAAAAACAACGTTGAATAATGAAACAACATGAGTAAATGAACAAATCAACCACTATTATACAGATGTGTTTTTATTTTAAGTCTTCTCCCAATTACATAGTATAAATCAGTAAGAAGATCCAATAGATTGATAAGATTATTATCATTCCTATTAATCGGCTTAGGAATCCAAAATTTTTCAATCGGATGAGGTCTTGTCACCGAAAACAAATACCAGGAAAAAAATTATGTCGTATTTCTAGGACGACTATTAAATTTCGATTAGAAAATTTCATTAAAATTATCAGAATGCAGTTCGACAAGTTTCAAAAATTCTAAACCCGATGAAATCTATTGAAGATAGGAGCTCGATTCTGTTATAGAGATTGGCGAGAAAAAAAAACGGAAATTTTCTAAGATCTGGAGGGTATCCCATGTTCTAGACACTCTAATTTGAATAGTTATTGTTCGAATATTATTTTTTCTAGTTGCACCAGTCGACTATTGAATAGTAATGTATGGCATCCTCTTTGCTTCATCTTGCAAGAATTCAATGAAAGACAATATGTTGGTTTGATTTCTATAGATACGATTGTTTATTCTGTTATGATAACCTTTAAAAAAGAAATAAAGTAAGTTTTAAAACTAAAGCTGTCATCTCTATTTTTACAAACATTGTTCGTTCATATATCACATGTGAACATGTTCCAAAAATCAATATTATCTATCCAATTTATTTTTCAAAATATCTTAGTGATTGTTGCATTGGATGATCAAATGATTGATCAGCATCCGTTCATATTTCATTAAAAAACCTTATCATTTATTCAGGTGACATCATTATAGCTGTGAACTGTGTTTGTATAATCTCTCTTCACATTGTTAAAATAGTTTCACTCTGATGCTAAACTTTCGTAATTTTCAACAGTAGGATGTCTGTCTCTCTTTGACATTTTTACTTTCGACCTTAGTCAAGGGAAGCATGGGTAGTTCATCATACGAACAAAAAATTTTATATAGAATCAAAAATTCTAGTTTAATTTTCAATATTAATGAAATATTAGTATAAGATATCTACATCATTAGTGATGAGACATTTTTTCTAGGTGACCTGAATATTTTCCTTGTAAAATTTTCATTTGATACATTTAATGAAATCAAATTAATAGACAAAAACAATCTTCTTTAAAGATTTCGCCATGTATTAAATATTCACAAGTCTTAGTCTTAAGGTTTTATAAAAAGAAAATCATAAACCACTATCATCAAACGTTATGTCATCCTTAAATCTTTTGAATTTAATTAAATTATACACGCTCATTTTCTATTATAAAAGTAATTAAAACTTATTTTATAAAAGATAATAAACAACGCTCAATTAAATATTTGGTATTAAAAAGATTATTAACAAACAATTAAAATAAAAGTATCGTAAATAAACATATTCAATAGTACTTCTAGACAACAGACCTTCATCTTAATGAATTATTCTAAATATAGATAATTGTAATTTAATTAATATTAAAAGAAGAAAAAAAAATGAATTCATTTTCGAATTCATTCGTGCTTGTCTCTTTTTTTTTAAGCATAAATAAAATTTGAATAATATATTTTTTTTTCTTTGGATTTAATACAAAGAAAATCTTCTAATTTAAAAAACCGATATAAACCAACACAATCATACAAGAAAAAACTTGGTAATGATGTAACTTTTTTTTTCATTAAAATATTTTCTTCTTGTTGAAGTCTTTTACTATTAGTTCATCTATGAAATAGAGACACAATTTCAATAAATTGAACATATATATATATATATATTAAATTCTTATTAAATTTCTTCAATTTCAAATTGAATATCTATTACATCATTTGATAACGTAATCTTGTCCATTGCTAATATTCTTCTTCTTCTTATTACTGTACCATAAATTAAATGTATGTGGTGAAATAGTTGAATTTGTTATTGGAGATGATGATGATGATAAAAGATATTTCTTATTAATTCGTACACGACGTTGTTTAATTAAATCTCTTGATATTTTATCGTTTTTTTTATCAATAGTTAAATTTTTTAAAGAATTTAATACACATAATGATGTTTTCTTATTTGAAATCAATGAATTATTATTTTGAATATTATGTTTAGATTTTATTAAATCAACATTATGATTTTCAAACCTAATTTATATTAAAAAAAATAAAAATAAAAATAGAGAACAAAAAATATTAAAATATTTCAATACATTTTCATTTTTCTTGACTGTTGTTGAATACATGTATAAATTAAACCTTTTTGAATATGATCATTATTCATTTGTATTTGACATATTGAAGATGATTCAATTTGATTACAATATATTCTTGCAGCATTATTAGCTGGTAATAATATTAATAAACATAGATCATTTCGCATAGAATCTGTAATCATTTATAGATATTAATATTTCATTTTCTTTTTGTCATCTGTCATAGTAACATAAAAAAAGAAAAAGAAAAAAATAATTTTCTAATTCTTAAAGATTAAGATAAAGCCTAATAAGAGTATGTCATATTTAAAGAAAATGATGTATGTCTATGCATTCACATATATACATTGAATTTTTTCTTTCATCATTTGACATTGATTTCGAGTGGAACACCCTCGATCGTTTGTGCTCAAACAAAATCATTGCATGTGCTCAAATCACAAGTGCGTGTCCATATTGCACTTTGTGTTGTCCTTCAAGGCCAAGTGATGTAAACTAACATCTATACATATATACATACCATGATGATGACGATAATGATGATCTTCTACTTTTTTTCCTTCATCGACTGCGAGTCATTTTGAGTAGCACTCGATTTCAATTGTGTAGATGTGTGTCGTTTTTTTACTAAGTGAAGTTCAAGGTTATCGAACTGATTTAGTAAGAATGATGAGTGAATCTTGACATACCAACAAATAATAGAGCGGGGTTCTTTTTTTTTTCATTGTTCTGATATTTTAATAGATAAATTGAATGAAATAGACTGTTCAAGGTAATCATATAAATATTGTTTCAATGAGATAACTGAGATGGAAATCGAAATTGTATATGTCTTTAACAGTACTTTCATTTTATGTCTCTTTATCTTAATCAAGAAAGTTATTGACCGCCTGGGGCATTTCATTCTCTTTTTTTTAATCATAAATATCTAGTTTGCATTTATTTTGTAATTACTATATATATATGCCTATATTTAGTTTGTATAACATTGGTTAGAAAAAAGAAGGTGAAGTAATTATCCACACCTCAGCATTTCCACATATCTGATCTTCCCTTCCGCTCGTTTCATTTCATTACACTGGGATTTCATGTCTCTAATTATGGCTCGTATACAAGCATCATCATAATATATATGTGTGTGTGTGTTTGTATGCACCGTTACAATAATAGAAGAGAAGAAAGAAAAGGAAAAGTGAGTTTTGCCTTTTTCTCTCTCTCTCTTCTCTCTGCTGTCGCGCTCTCCCTATTATGCGCTTGGAAGAACATGGATGTTGTATCTTTCTTTTTCTCTTAAATCTCTTTCATAAGCTCGTCGTTTACTAACTACAACTTTTCGAAGGGATCAAGTAAGTAAGTGTTTGACAAGTAGTCAGACGAGTAAGTTCAAAAAAAGAAAAAAAAAAAAAAAGAAAATTTACTTTCGTCTTTTTTTAAATAAAAGGAAGCAACTGTCTGACATTTATAGTTGTTGATGAATATGATCATTGCTCAGTTAATAGAAAAAGAAAAACGAGATTTAATGAACTGGATTTCCTGTGTCAGACTTTATTGACCAATGGTCGGCGAATTAGTCTTTAGAAAGAATACATAGGATTGCGTGCCAAATTGAAATTGGACTCGAACAATCTTCTCATTGCTTACTCTTTCTCTCTCTCTCCCTCTTCTTCCTTCTTTTTTTTTGTTGTAATCGTCAAAATGGCTCCCATCGAAAGAGATTAGAAATTGTTATTTGTACAAACTTTACCGACACGCATGCACATCAGCAGATGGCACATATACATATATGTATGTACCAACCGTATTAAGATTGTTTCTTTATTCATCCATTCATTTGACCATTCTTTTTTATATGCTTCCGTAAATTTTTCAAGAGTAGGATTCGGTAATATCTATCGATTATTAAACAGTAGTTTATTCAACTGGAATGAAATAGAAATACTTGTGGCGAGAAAGTATATGTCAATCAAAATTGACACAGTCTATTTACTGATTACGAGACATACACCTGAAGTATCGTTAACCATCGACTTGACATATATATACAAACACTCAATAGAAACAGCAAGATTTATATATATATATGTAGTTACTGTTTTGCATTAAAAGAAGAATAGAGGTTATCACATCTACACATACATATATA